CCCCTGCCTCTGCAGCGGCCGCTCTCTGCCAGTGAGCCCAGGGGGGAAGGCAGCACCCTCACCCGTTCCACTGCCTGGGGGTGGGTTCCAGGTTCGCTTCCCCAGGGGATGGGCCTGTACACATTTAGGGTGCACAGCCATGATCCACAAAGCCCCCGTTGTTCATCTCTCCTCCTAGAGAGCTGACTGGGAACATAGCAGGGGCCCCACTGCCTCATTTAAGCTCCCATCTATTCTCTGGCATAGATGAGAGATCCCAGCTGCCCCTGCTCCGTCCCACACACAGCGACCTTGCCACTGCGCCTGCGGTCCGCGGGACCTAGTGCGCTCTCCTCGACCTCCACATCCGATTGGTCGCCTTCCGCGGGACAACTGGGATAACTGTTTTCGGAATCTTCGGTTTTGTTTGTCTAATTTGCTTTAGGGCGCGTGTCCTTGAGAGAGAGAGAGAACCTCCCAGGGCAGATGGCCACTCCTGAGTCCCTACCCACCAAACTGATGACAGTGTCTGGTTTGGCTTATCACCACTGCCTCCCTTATGTCTTCTCAGTTTATAGTGGCTCCCCTTATCTGCAGTTTCACTTTCCAGGTTTCAGTTACCCACAGTCAACTGTGGTCTGAAAACTCTTAGTGGCAAATTTCAGAAATAAGCATGTTTTTAATTGAGTGCCATTCTACACTCCATCATAGCCAGAAGGCTCAGAAACGATAAAGCATGTGCTGCTCTGAGTAGCCGGAAGAGCTCTTGCACAGATCTGCTTTGCCCCATCCAGAGGTGAATCGCCCTCCCCCCCAGTGGGTCCACACCGCGAATGTGGTCTACCCGTTCTCACCCGTTCTCACCGACAGCCGGAGGAGTAGCAGATCCTCTGCGGTGGGGCCGGTGGGGCCCAGAGCGTTCAAGTAACCAGTTGTTTGCTTAACAGTGGCCAAAGCATGAGAGCAATGAGGTGGGCAGGTTGATCTCATTGTTCTCTTGTCCATTTCCCACTGTGCCTAGTGAATAGGGTAAGCTTCCTCATACATGGGAGCCAGCAGGTGGCATGGTGGTTAGGCCACTGGACTCCCACATGGTTACCATGGTCCGAGTCCTGGACCTGGTGGTTTGCTTTCTCACTTTCCATCTCTCTCTGTCTCTCCCTGGTGAGCACACATGCTCTATAACAAATAATTTTAAAATAATAATAAATACGATTAGATCATTTATAAAAATACTTTTTCTGGGGCCAGTAGGTGGCATGGTGGCTAAGGGTAATGGACTACCATATGATGGCTGACTGCAGTTCAAGTCCTGGACCTGGCAGCTTGCTTTCTCACGTTTCCTCTCTTTCTCTGTCCCTCTCTGGGCAGATTAAATAAATAAAAGTTAAATAAAGTAATTCTTAAAAAAAAAAACTTTCTCACACATAGTTATGTATATAGAGGAACAAGCATGGTACAGGTAGGGTCTCAAGCACTTACGAGGGGCCTTGGAATGTACTCTCATGTGTGTGTGTGGGGGGGAGGGGCAGGGTTGTACTAGGGAAAAGCTGCTGCTCTGTGCTTCCAGTTGGGGTGGCGGTGAGGGAAGTCCTGCCACCTCTGGGTGAGGGAGGCCCTATGACTTATCCCCAGCCTAGGAAAGGCCTTGCTCTGAGAAGGCTGCCCTCCTAGGGCCTAGGACAGGGCAGGTGCAAGCTGCAGGGGAAAGGAGGCCAACTCTTCCGGCAGCAGGAAGTGGTGGCCACCTCTGGGGAAATGAGGCTTGTTCCTCCCTGCCGGGTGCACAGAAGGGGAAGCTCAACTGAACCCCGTGCCCCTGCTGGCCTTCCTTGCCCCTCCCTGGGCCTCCCTCAGGGCTGTGACTGGGTGCCCGGTGAGTGGGGGCCTGGAGCAGCTGTGGCATCAGGGCCCGCTGGCATTAAGGGCCAGGCCCTGAAGGGAGCCACTGGTAGTGCTGACCAAAGAGGCCAGCTTGCCATGCACCTTGGGGCTCCCTGCCCTGGCTGCTTGGCGGCAGGACAGGTGCACCAGTGGGTAGGGACAGCAAGGCCCCAGGAGGGTACAGGGGGAGAGGACTGGGAGGAGCAGCGGGCCTGCCCCATCCTGCAGCTCTGCCAGGCCTGGGCTGACTCCCCGCCCCCACCGGGAGCCACGTGGGCTGGGCGGAGCCCATGCAGAGTGCGGGCTGCTGCGCCCTAGGTCCCAGCACTAGGGCTGCCAGAGGCCTAGTGGGAGCAGCAGGGCTCGAAGTCCTGGCTGCTGGCCGCCATGGCCACGCATGGGAAGCTGAGGCGGGAGCGGGGACCACAGGCGGAGTATGAGATGCAAGTCAAAGGTGAGAGGGCGCCAGGTCCTGGCTGCTGGTTCCCTGCAGAAAGCCTAAGGTGATGAGGGGGCCCAACCTCCCACTGCTGGCCCTAGGCCCTGCTTTCCCTGGCACCTTTGGAGGGGGGTGGAGCCCGAGCCCCTGCCTGGCTTTCTGACCCCTTGGGTCTCAACTACTTGCACCCCCACTTCCTTCCTCCCTCCCTACCTTCCCTGGGTCTCTCCACTCCTTGCGGGGGACGGGGGGCAGCAGAGACCCTGCAGGCCCAAGGTGGGGAGGGACTGAACGTACCAAGGTATCCCCAGAAGATGGCATTCTAGCCAGAGTGAAATTGACCACTTTGACCCCAGTCCTGCTGGGGGTGAAGGGGATGGGTAAGGAAGTCAGGTGAGAAGATTGGCTGTTACCTCACTCTACCGCCACTCCAGCCCCTGGAGCCTTGGCACCGAGGTGGCTCAGAGGTGAGGGCTGCTGTCTCTGGGTGACACTGGTGAAATGAATCTTGGCGTGAGGCTTTTCTGACATCGGACATCGCTGGGTCCTCAAAAGCCACTGGGAGGACCAGCAGTTAGCGTAATGGCTATGTCGCTGGACTCCCATGTAGTCAACTGCAGTTCAAATCTCAGACCTGGTGACTTAGAACTCACGCCGGGCGTGTGTGCGTGCGGGCCCAAGATCCCAAGAGGAGAATGGAGGAGAAGGGATTGTGGTGTGGCTATCCCTCTGGGGGGTGATTTCTCGCTTTCTGTCTCTCTGTCTCTCTCTCTCGAGCGCAGGTCCCCTATAGAAAAAACCTCAAAAAAAAAAAAAAAAAAGCCACTGGGCAAGCTTCGCAGAGTGTTCGCAGGGTCTGCTGTGCTGGTCCTGCTCATGGCGTAGTCCAGCTCCCTGGTGCCTTAAGATGCCAGACCCATGGCTCCCAGTCACTGCTCCACTGCTGAGAGCACTCTCAGAGCACTGCCGTCCCAGGGGCAGAATGATGTGACCTCCCACAGAGTTGTTCGGAGCCAGCAGGCATGGGGGCCAGTGTGCCCGGCCCTCCCCGTCTGCCGCCCAGAGCCTTGCCTCGTCATTGCTCTGAGGGCCCTAAGATCCCGATCCTGCTACTGCAAACTGTCCCGAGGCCGAGGGCCTCCCCAACTCTCCAGTCAGCAGACACGGGCTGTCCATTGACACCGAGAAACCAGGGGTTTGAGCGAGACCACCTACAAGACACCTTCGCTCGCTCTATACTTCCCATCCCACCCGTACCCCACCTCCCCAAAAACTTCTTGCCATGCTAAAAGCCAGGCTCCCTTCCTCCGTCAGCCTGTGGTCTGAAACGGCGCCATTGCGGGCG